TGAGGGGAGGCCCCAGGGGTGGAACTCCCCATATAACAACTACAGGTGCCCTCGGAGCCCTGGAGCTTAAAGCCTGAGCAAAGTCTAGGGGCCTCAGTCCAGACAAAAATGACCCCCCTGCCTGCAGAAGAAAAGCTGTCCTGTCTTCTGAGCGAGGGAAGGGCTCTTAACTCCTTGCTCGTGAAGTCCTGGTTGGCTCCTCAGCTGCTTCTGCATCTCCTGTAAGCACCAACATCACGCCTGCACCAAGCGCTGTTTCTGGCAGTGGTGTGGGCTGTGCTGAAGTTGCAAACCCCAGCATGGCTGCCCCTGGTCCGTCCTGTCGTCTCGAACCGCAGCAGTCCCTGCTGCAGAGGACTCATCCTCCCCACCCCAAACCTACGCCATCCGGAGCTGCGCGTGCAGCAGCGTGGCCGGCTGGGCGACCACCATACACACAGCCCACGTCCCCACGAGGCAAGAGCTGACAACAGGAACCCCGGCGAGAAAAAAAACGCTGAGGCAGCTCCTTCAAAGGTCACCCCAGCGATTACATGCACAGGAGAGGCTCGGATGTGCCACGCAGCTGCTGCGAGACCAGGGGAAGTATGCACCGCTCTGCGGCTGCTATTGCAGAAGCGCAGGAAACCAAAGCCCGGGGCGGATGGAGGGGTTCGGGTGCTCTGCGGCACAGTGACCTCACCCCCCCCCGCACTAGTCCCATGAATGCAGGCAGGTCTTCGAGATAAAAAAAACAGGGGAGCGAAGATGTTCAGCCACCGGTCAGGCAAGCAGCTCTGCCTCTTCACTGCTTTGAAAAGGGCAGCGTTTGGCTGGAAGCATCAAGATGTGCGATGCTTGGGGTCCAGCTAACCCAGCACTGGTGTCTAATGGTTGTGAAGGTGTCCCCAAAGCTGCACGGCTCTCTTGTCATCCTCCGTTGGTGAAAACGGGCCCCGCTGAGGTCCACGATGGCACCCACAGGTAGATGGCTAAAGTGGTGAGATGAGTCCCACCAGCTGTTTTTAGCCAACCTTTGAAAATAAAGGGAATATTTTAACCTGCAGCTGAACCACCGCACGCACTTAGTGGTCCCCAGTGATCATTTTAAATCATACCAATGTGTATCAGAGGTAGGAGCTACATTCAGATCCTTAACCCACCATCACATGAAATGCCCCTGGCCATGAAGAAATGGGTTGTTAGAAGCAGTCTTGCATCAAGTCTGCACAAGCTTGCCCTGCAAGGTGGGCTTGTCCTCACAGCCAGCTAGTGAAGCTGTGCTAAGGCTTACATGTCCCCAGCACACACAGCCAGAGCAGAGCGAGCTCCTCTGGTCAGGGCTGAATTCTCCAAATTCTTTTGGTGGAAGATCAGATATAAACATCTATTTATTTATTTTTCAGTGGCAGTATAGCTCTGCTGCTTTCTGGGCTTGGCTCCACTGCTGTGTTGACCTCTGGCTTCTCTGAGTTCCCAGAGATTAAAAAGGGCAGGACGGGTCATGAGGAAGAGCCCTTGGTGGCAAAAAAATTAATGGCGCAGAGCTGCAGTAGCAAGGTCTATAGCTTCCGAGTCTACTTCCAGCGTGGCAGCCACAGCAGCTTCCCAGCACCGAGCATCTGCAGTGTGCGCAACCCTCAGCGTTAACCAGCAGTGAGTCATGCTCTCAAAAGTGTTGAGGTATGGTTTAAAGCCCAAGTTTGTTTATTTTAAGAATAAATGCTGGCCTACCGTATGTACTCCCTGGTATTTAAGTTTTTCTACATAAGAGGACTAGAAACTTTTCTTTACCAGGCCTCTTTCTCACATTGTCATGCCCTTTCAGGACCAAGGGTTATCGGGAGATGAATCAGGAGCTGCAAGAGCTGGCAGAGGTTCACGGGAAGCACTGGGTGGCAAGCTTGGTGCTCCTTGCAGCGCTCTGCTGAAGCCACTCGCAGGACGATGCTCCCTGACCAGCTGGCTGCCAGCAGCAGGACACTTTCCTAGAAACTGTGACCTCAGTGTGTCTCCCACCCCCAGCCTCCCCCCGTGCACATGCTGAGATGTTCGTATCTTCTCCGTGCTGTGGTCTGGAGGCGCTCCTGGTGATGCTCCTGCTCAGAGATGATGCACAGAAATGTATTGCTGTAAGCCTTGGGGCTGCTGCTGCTGGCCAGGCAGGAGCTCCAGGTTGCCAGCACAGGTTGGCTGTGGGTGGGAGAGCTCACGATGGGTCAGGACACGGGCTGTTTCAGCCGTTCCCACCTCCAGCCGCAGCAGAAAAGGCCGGAGTGGGGCTGGGCTCCATTGCCAGGCTAGCTGCAGCCACTGAGCTATGTATGTGGGACACTGACGGCAGAGCTGCTGTCAGAAGCTCCTGCAGGAGCTAATAATATTTGTGCTGGTCTACGGCAAGGCTGCCCGTTGCAGTAGCTCTCCGAGAGGTGCTCCCTGCCAGCCTTCCTCCAGCTTCTGCTGGAGCCTCCTTCGGCAGCATGGCTAACAACACCGTGGCTGCTGATTTTCCAGTAGGCACCTACTGCCACCTTCCCCCCACCTCTGAAAGTGACTGCTGAGGTGCATACAGCTCCCACTTCAACACCCCCCCCCCCCAATCCCCAACCTACCAGCCCCCATCCACCCATTGTACCCAGCAGAGGTTCCCAGTACCCTCCATAGGGGATGTGGTTTGCCAGGTCCAGCAAGCTGCCCCTCTGGAGGAGGTGGGTCTGCAGATCCCAAAAGCACTTTCTGGGGCTCAGTAGTCCTTTATGTCCCATCCCCACCAGTCCCTTACAGTGCACATGGAAGAAGAGCAGTGAGGCACAGGATTGCCGCAGAGTCTCAGCAGAAGTCTGGTGCCTTGGTGCAGATCATCCCTTCCTCATTTCTGACAAGTAGATTTAGTATTGCTGTGCAAACCAAGCAGCAGGTCTAACACACCAAATTGTCCCCGAGTCCTGCGTACCCTCCTTGCCCACTGCCTCTAACCCTTGTCTACAGCATGTGTGCACCTGGGGAGAGACAAGGTTTCTGGTACCACTGTTAGGGCTCTCATAAATATTGGGGAGAAAGGAGCTGGGAATAGCACTTTCCCCTCCTCCCCCCTAGTTTTCTGCACGGCCGAAAGGCCAGTGATCTGCTTTCTGTGATCACATAGGTTGTGGTTTCCCGGTATTCCCATGGGAACCGGGACCTTCAGGGGAACCAGCAGCTGCCCCAATGCTGGTGAGCACCCAGACAGTGCCACTTCTGTCCCCACAAGGTCTCCAGCAGCTTCAGCTCCTGTGTGTGGCTTTGCAAATCTCCTTCTCTGTGCAAAACAGCACGGTGCAAAGCGCAGAAGTGCAAAGCTGGGAGGGGGGTTGGTACAACAGCACTGGGGAAAGGTATCCTTCAGATAAAAATCGGTGCTATATGGGTCACCCCCTTCCCTCCAGCCTGTCCCCCAGCACCAGCCTGCTTACATGCTGTTTAGACAGGCACAAATTTCCTGAGGTGCCAGCCAGGTGCCTTAAGACTGAGGGAAAGCCAAAACAAAATAAACCTGATGTAGCTGGGTGCTTTAATTTGCAGGAAGTGCCGAGCAGCAGCAGGCTGGTTCCCAGCTGAATCTCTCCTGCTGTATCAAGCATAAATTCATCAGGTATTCCATTTCCTGAAAAAAAAAAAAAGCAGAATAATTCACTTCTTTTAGAAATGAAGAGTAGAGCTATTTTTCCCTCTGACATGGTGAACACAATTACCTAAGGCATGGGAGGCTGAGATAACTCACTTATTCAGCCCCCATTCTCCAAAGAAACCATCATCATTCTGTCAGAAAAGGCTTTAAAACCCAATTCACATCCTGAATGCTAAGACGTCGCCACATACAGAACCTGTCCTTATGATTTCCGTGCACCAGCTGCAGCATCACAAGCAAAACACACTCATAGACAGGGCAGAGTTCATTATTATCAGGGCCATAGACACCATGCAAGCTCCCTGTGTTTGCTGACCCTTCTCCCGGTGCTGTTGGCGTCTCCTTGTCCTTCAGGAGCAATTCCCAGCACAGCAAAGCACACGGGCATCCTGTTAGCAGTGTGAGCCACGGTGGGACTTGGAAAGCGTGCATGGGGGAAAAGAGTCGTAAGCTGCGTTTGTTCGGAGAGCTCAACGAAGGGAAACCATAAGCCTGCGCTTGCCCCCAAATATAATCCCGTTAAGGCTGCACCCTCCACTCCCACCTCCTCTGCCATTATATAATAGGGAGTGGAGTAATGACTTTCAGCAATGCTGTTTGAATGGCAGCGATCCAATTCTGAACTGTATTTTTCTTTTTTTAATGGTGGGGGGAGAGGGGGGTGGCGGGGGGGGGGGGGGCGTCAGTTTGGTTTGTCTGCAATCCCTGTTTTGCTTTGGGAGCTTTAGAGGACAGACACATTCTTCCATCTCTGCTAATCCTCCTCTGATACAGAGGATTTTCCTGCCATTAAATGATAGCTTGTGAGAAAAAAATGCCAACTTTTCAGAGACTGACTCGTATGGCTAATGGCAGCCTCATGAGCAGGAGGGAGGACACAGCCACTGCCTGGCTAGGTAAGCAATGTATCTAGGTGATTTCTGTTGGGAATTTTGGTTTCGACTGTTTGATGCTAAGCTGGTGACGCTCCTCTGTACCAGCGCGTATTTCTTAGGGAGAGGGCCAGCCTCTTACTGATCTTTTTTCACCTCAGATGATAGGAACCTGCCCTTGGCACGGCTGGTGGGAAGGATGTGGATGAGCTCCTGAAAAGGAGTAGCACGAAGCCGCAGGATTCCCTGAGAAGGTCAGTGGTGGAAGAAAGATACCAGAAAGGTGCTGGAGACTTCTTCAGTTTGAAAGCTTGTGGGAGAGCTTTTTCATTCATCTTCCTTTCTAAACATAGATCTTATTGTGGGAAAATGATGCAGGGAAATGACAGAGGATGAAACCTGTCTCTGTTCTTTCTGTGTGCTTTTAGATCCCTCAAGTTTGCTTGCCAGACCTGAAATGCCACTAGTGAATAATCAAGGTAATGTTTGCCATCATTTTAAATGGTGAGTATACTCTTATTCTGCATTACCCAGTAGTGGATTAGACAGATCGTTTGGAAAGGCGTATGTTAAATACTCAATTACTGCAATCATTGTCTCTTTACCCTTCTAAAACCTCTGCAAACATCTTTTTAGTCTCTCACTTTTCCTTTCAAATGCTGAATTACCATAGTATAAAAAAGCAAAAGAGATCACCCCTGGGTGGAGTTTTGTTTATTCCTTAATCTCACAAATATTTTTGACCTTATTGCTGTATTTCACCCTTTTTGTTAAACACATATATCTCATTTGAGCACCCTCTGTGACACTGAGTTGGAGGCATCTTCCAGCTGCTGCCCTGTCTGCTGCTGCCACAGTGTTCAGTGTTAAAAGCAAAGAATGTCCTTTTTGGGGAAGGGGAAGAAGGAAGGCGAGGAGGAGATGTTTCATGCTATGCTGGTCAGAGGAGATCTGGCCAACAGCAGAGATCTGATCTCCTGTGCTCTGAGCAGCAGCTCTTCTGAGGGTTTGGTGGGGTTCAGATGGAGGATTTTCTTCTGACTTCCTTTGCAAGACAAAGAGGCAGAATTGCCACAAAGACTGCAGTGCTGAGGGGCTCCTCTGAGCTCCTATTGCCAGGGGATTGTTTTCTGCTTGAATGGTCCTCAAGTGTTTGTTTTCCATGTACTGCACTATGCAGAGATACACTTGTAAATAGAGATCTTAGAAGCGTGCTGTGAAATGCCACTAGCAAAAGACCCAGATTTGGCACTAAACACCCCTTGTGTATAAGAACAGGCTGCATATGGCTTGGGTACAGACATTTCCTTTATCAAGTGATCAGAGAACAAGCAGGGATGGGATTTGGTTATCGCTGTGCTCATTCCTTTGCACACAGTGTACGCAGCTGCTGGGAGAGGTCTGCTCTGAAGGCCAGAGCTGTGCCTGAGCTCGGGATAGCTGTAGCTAAACATTGAACTTGCCTGGGACATACTCACATATAGGATAGCCTATGCACATACGTCCCTCTGGATGTCACCCTGAGCATATGCAAAGCTCTCGTTCCAGCAGCAACACTCGGATCCATCCGTTCCAGACAGCCACCTGCGGTCAGACATTTGGGAACAGGCAAATCCTTAATCTGTCTGGCCCTCAGTTTATGTAAGTGTGTAACAGAAACAACATATGCCCCTGTTTGCAAGCAACAGTGGACTGGTGCAAAGGGCAGCAAACGAGGCAGCCCTTGGGCAGCCTGCGCAAAGAAAAAGCAATCGGATGCTGGTGCGTTATCCCCTTCTTGTCCTTAGGCTCCTTGCCTGTTTTCTACCCAGGGCCCTGACTGAAGGGGCACTTTCCTTTAGCCATGGATGTCAGATAAGGGCTCAGGAAAAAGGAGGAGAGCATACAAACAAGCAAACAAAATGACAACCTGTCTAAAATCCTTTCCACCTCTCAAGAGTCCTTTACTATCATTTATCCCTGAAGTGATGCTGTTTTGCTAATTCTCTGGTCACAATAGCGTGGCCAGGCTTGAGGGGACTTGAATTTTGATAAAGAGGCCACAGCTAAAGTCTTTCTGTGCTGCTCTATCCAAATATCTAAATCCCTCTTCTGCATGCAACGACCAGGTTAGTTCAAACAGCACCAGGCTGGGTGGCTCTTGGGTTGATGTCTTGTCAATGGGGACCTGCCCAGCAACTGGGTTTGCAAGCCTCCTGCTTGAAGAAGCCACAGGCAGCGTAAAGTCATAAATACAGTACCGTGCATGTTGCCTTTAAAAAGGATGGAGAAAGGACAGAGCAATTGCAATTTGAACTGTAGTTCAGTCTGCACATTAAAGCCTTAGAGGCTGCAAAAATAAAAGCTTGACACTTGCCAAAGCTGATGTTTCCTGGCATATCATCTCACAAATCTGTCTTAGTAAAAATGTCCATCGGGAATACAGCTGTAGCGGGCAATCACTGTGCTGCAAACTGGCGGTGAGAGGCAGCCCGGCTGTTGGGAGCTCCACTCTCCAGACAAGTCAGCAGGAGCGTGGGGGAAAGCCTGGTCCTTGTCCCTTGGGGCCAGACGTACACGCAGCAGCAGCAGCAATGTGATCCCAGCAGTGCTGTAATAAAGGTGGCTGCTGGTATCTCATGTCTTGTTGAAAAAAAAATAAAAGGATTATGCTTCTGTGGGAGCCAATAAACTGCAGCAGAAAAACCAGGCAGTAGCAATACCACCGTTTCCCACTAGTGACTACATGGAGTGTTTGCTGGCGTGGCTGCTCGTTTTTTTGAGTGGCAGGTAGGATGTGCCTGCAAGAGCAATTACAGAATGAGCTCTGCCTTCGGTTCTTCCTCTCTATTGAGTTTATTTCACAGATGTCTGATTGACTGGATGTTTTTTCCCTACAAAACTGCCTGTCCGTGGAGACTGATGCCTCCCATTCCTTTTGTTCTTCTCTGATTTCTCCCCAAGAGTGCTCTCTTCCTCCTCCTTGTTGTACATCCACCTGTGTGGGACTAACTTGAAAAGAAACAACAATAGCCACACACCTCTCATGTCAGGCTGATAAAAGGGCAAAGCAGCTGTTCCCATCAAGCATAAGGCACTATGGTGACTGCCTTGAGAACTGGCAAAACAGTAAAAACTGTGCTGGAGGCGCAGAGTATCTATCATCTCATCTATGATGAGATCATGAAGCAAGCAGTTGAACAATATCCCTTCATTTGTTTTTCCTCACGCCACTCTACCAGTACACAGTGGTAATGTGTTTTTAAACACTGTACTACGTCCTTGAGAGCTGATAGTTCCCCTTGTAGTGCTGCACCAGCTCATGGTGCAGAAACATTAGGTTGAATGAACAAAGAAAAGAAAAAAGCAAAACGCATGAATTTGATGTGCCCCAGGCAACTAACTGCCCACTAACTGTCTAACTAACTGTCCCCTGCCCACTGCTGGACTAGCATACACTGCCCTCCCCTCTTCCCCACCCAGAAATACTGCAACCCATCCACAGCTGCTGGCCTTCAAAGCATCTCTGCCTGCTCCCCGGCCAAACCGTGTCCCCATCAACTTGCAGAGAGACCAATCACAGAGATACTGAGAAATACTTAAGTCCAGGTGAATCCCCCTTTTGGCTAGAGAAATTAATCAGAGGTGATATTCTAGATGGCGTTTTATATATATATATATATATATATATCTATCTATCTATCTATACACACACATACACACAGACACACACCCCCCTTCTCAGAGGGTTTAAAAACCCCAGCAGAACATTTTTAGGAATCTTTCACGTGACCTCCTTGGTCAGCACTGGTGTATAAATAGCGTGTGGCAATTAGCCTAGCTAAAAGGAAGGCAAAGATGTGTAATTTCTTTTTCCTGTCGTGACTAGTGTATTTGCTAATGACGCATCCCCATTCTCTCCTCCCATGCCTCCGTGGGGATGGCGCGTTCCTCTCTGACAGTGATCCTTTGGGTCCCCCATGTCCATGCGGTGTGGGCGTGCGTGCGATCCTGCCCTGCCAACTGCGTGTGCACCCAGGAGCGGAGCTGCTCCGTCCTCTGCGATCGTGCCGGTCTGGGGCAGATCCCTAGTGACTTCCCTTGTGAAGCCTCCTCTATCAACCTGGACAAAAACAGCATCAAGTTCCTCTCCGAGAGGGCCTTCGGGACCTTGCCTTCCCTCAAATCCCTGTCGCTCAACCACAACAATATCTCCTTCATCACCCCGGGGGCTTTCAAGGGGCTGCCCAGCTTGACCGAGCTGAAGATGGCCCACAACGAGTACATTCGCTATCTCCACACGCGGACTTTCACTGCCCTCAGACGGCTGGTGAGGCTGGACCTGGCGGACTGCAACCTTTTCAACATCCCGGACAGGATCTTCATTGAGTTGCCGGCTCTGCAGGAGCTCTTCTGCTTCCAGAACAACTTTCGGAGGATCCCAGGTGCCATCAGGGGCATGGAGAACCTCACCCATGTTTACCTGGAGAGAAACAGGATCGAAGCGGTAGCCTATAACTCCCTGCAGGGCCTGACCAAGCTGAAATACCTGAATCTGCAGGACAACAGGATAAACGTCATTCACGAGGGAGCTTTTCAGGGCTGCCGGAAGATGGAGTACCTCTACCTGAACGACAATTTGATCAGCGAGCTGCCAGAAAACTCCTTCGACGGCCTGCGGTGCCTGAAGATGCTCAACCTGGGGGGTAATTTTCTCAGGAACATTTCCAACACCTGGTTCAGGGACCTGGGGGAGCTGGAGGTCCTCTACCTGGACCGCAACAGGATCAACTACATTGAGGAAGGGGCTTTTGAAAACCTCACCAGCCTGGTCGCCTTGCACTTGAACAGCAACAACCTGACGACCCTGCCCTTTTCTGTCTTCCAGCCGGTCTACTTCCTTGGGCGGCTGTACCTCTTCCGCAATCCCTGGGAGTGCGACTGCCGCATCGAGTGGCTGAAGGAGTGGATGGAGAATTACAGGCTCGTCAGGGATATTCCCTGTGCCTCCCCCTCCTCAGTAGCTGGCATTGACCTGATGGACGTGCTCTACGAGAGATCGCCAGAAGGTTACTGTCTCGACCCGGTGGAGCTAAACATTACATCCGAAGGGCCGACCCCAAGTGAAGAGCCTTGGTCTACCACAGAGAGCAAGTTCAACAGCCTTATCTCCAAACTCTTGCTCCAGATGGGCCTTCCCGAAGAGGTGGCAAACGCCACCGAAGCCTATGGTAACAGCACCCAGCTGGATGGACTGACCGATGGGGTTTCTTCTGGGGTGGGGGAAGACAGTATCGAGGCCATCTCCTTCTCTTTTTACCTCCCAGCACTTTTTACAGTGATTGTTTTGCGGTGCAAATAGTCCAAGGGCTGCATGGAGCGTGGGTCCTGCTTAAGCATTTAGTCCCTGTCCCTACCTAGTCATTAGGGAAAAGTTTGTGTCGCGGGCCTCCGATATATAACTGGCTCCAAACTCTCCCAGGTTGGGTTGGTTGGATCTGGCTCCAGATTCCCCTGGGAGCTGGTAGGATCTGGTTCAAGGCTGGGTCCCGCTCTGCCGTGTGGGGTCTCAGAGCCTCCCGGACACTCCCCGACCTGCGTGGAAGATGAGGAATGAAAGAATAGCAGTAAGGTGAGTTTCGCTTAGAGACGTACGGTGTCCCTTGCTGGGAGCGGAGGGAAGAGGGCTCTGCACCGATGGTGGTGCAGCGCCGTTTATTCCGTTGGGCCAACTCTGGTTGACGCAACCATCGACTTTATGTGAGCAAGATGAGGCAGCAAAACCAGACACCCCCCCGTTCATATCCTGACAGACACCCGCACCCACGGCGGGTGCTGCTGAAGACTGGCGAACCGTTCCTGATTTCCACCAGCGTGTGCCGGGGGGAGCGGGGCTGTCCTGGGCAGCATCCAGGGATGCAGCACTAGCCCTTGTGAACAGAACAGCATCTGGGGAGGGCGCCTGCCCCAGGCGGGTCTGGGATGGGCACAGTGTTTTGGCCATGACTACAGACAGGATTTTGGGATTTTGATCCTTTCTCCCCCCTGCTATCCTGGCACAGGTGCAGAGGAACCAGACAGACCCATGTTTGTCAAAACATTCTTCTCTGAGGCAAAGCTATTTAAAATTAATGGCTTACTTATTAATGTCATTTCAATGTGTTTTTATTTTTCAATGAATCTATTGTTTCAAGGAATATAGTGTTTTTATTTGTAGATTAGTTCATGGCATGACAGCAGGGGCAGAACAATGACAAATGCAACCAGGCCCTACTAAATATTTTGCATTATTTCCACCACTAATGTGTACCACATAGCATGTCATATTATCCTGTACTAGCCAACTATGCCATCATTTTCTTTTATATGGCATCTTACATGTTTTATCTTTGAAATCTTCAATGAAAGCTGCTAATATGGCCAGAAAGAACTATCACGTTTTACGTATCAGGGCACATCAATAAAATAATCTGATATTTTGCTCACAAAAATAAATTAACTGCTCAAAACCCACATTTGTTTTGAGATCTTCGAATTACTCTGCTGGGTTTTTTTGTAGGCTACTCAAATGTGTGCACATGAATGTCCTTTTTATGGTCTAGAGCAAATGGCAAGCTACTTATTGCAGCATAAAGAATAGACAGTTTAACTTAGAACATGACCATACTTATATTTGTGTTAAGTAGCAATGCTTTAAAAAATAAGTGACTATATAGAAATACAATTCTGTGATATTTTAACTATATTAAATTATTATACATGGCTTATCATACTATGATGTACCTGTTCATATGAAATGATACAGCATATACAGTCCTTTAGTACTGCTAAAATGTCATGAAATAGGAATAAAAATGGAAATGAATTAAAAAAACCTATCAAACATTTTCGTACCCCACCCCACCCACCCACTCCCCCCCCCCCCCCCCTGCCCCCCTCACCCA